GCAAAGCCGTGGACCCAATTTAGTAACTAATTATAATGGCTCTCGATAAAATTCTCTTGAACAAAAATAGTTTCTCAATTATAAATTTAAATTTTAAATGTTGAAACTTTCTGATTGACTCGTCCGTTACTTAATGAAGATCCATAGTAATTTCACAAAATACACCGAAAGCGATTTGATCTTCACAAATTTTTCAAAAATATCACGACATATCATGCTATCATAGTAGCCTGTTCGTAGTGAATAACATACTATTTAACATACCAACATATTTAATGTTGAAATAGGTACTCGTGAGTAGGTACCTAGCTGAACGAAATGAAAAAGCGACCCCAACCTTAAAAATGACTCACTTAGTAAAAACACAGCGTTTTGAAAATGAAGAATAATTAGCAAGAAATAGAATTTTTGAATATTCAATGTTTTCCGTATATCTTGAGAACCAAAAAAACTGAAATAGATTTCTCAATAATATCCATTTGTACCCGAAAATAAGCAACTTGAATTTCCATGATAGCAAAAGGTATCTTGTTTACATCGAAGTTGAATTCTGAAGGCACGTTTTGTCTGTGAAAATAGTATGCATGGAATTATTAATATAATACCATCATTACCATAGGTTGAAGGTTGAAAAAGTCCAATCAAAGATGCAATAAACAGAAAGTTGATAAAAACAAAATATTGAAATGATACCAGAGGAAATATTGATACTTCATATTATTTCAATATATTTTTTTCCAATAATATACACACAGATTGTCAACAAAGACGTAGTTCTTTTATCAAAAATAATCAAGAGGAAAATATTCCTGGGAGTCCCTGAAATAATGCATCCTTGTTGAAATATCATTGACTTTTCAAATATCTGTTTCAGTCGCGTCTACTATTCAACTTTTCAACTTGGGAACAAAAGAATACTGCTGCCAGTTTTTCATTCATTGTTAAGATGCCATGCAGGAACAAGTTGTAAACGTCTTACCTTTTCGGTATGAAATAATATGGAATTCCATAACTCTGGCTGAATATTTCTATACCATTGTTTCTTTAACGTAAATGGTATTTTTACAATTTTTATCGGATATACCACATCCATTATTCATTTTTACTTGTATAGATCTTAGAGTGTTTATCAAGATTGGTAGAGGTATATAATTGAAATACTGGGTGTTCCCGTCAAATATGATTTATTTTGAATTGAAAGGGGAAATGAGTAGATCATGCAAAGGAGTAACTTCCAGACAGAACATGGAAAAAACTTTCCCAAAACAACTACTTTCATATAAACGTTGAATTACGCGAAAGAAAGAATACTTTGAAAACAACAACTTTCATATAAAAATTTAATTATACAAAAAACATTGTTTTTTATTCAGTTCGTATGCCAAATATCCGTTATGGAACTGATTCAGATATTATTCAGAGAAGTGCTACGCAATAAAGTATTTGAAAGAAACATCGATATCCTAAATAGTGGATATCGATGTTTCGGAATGAGACACTTGCCCTATTGCCTCTTCTGCACCAATCTGGATGACAGTATGAACCAAATAAGTGCTAAAGATGCAAGAAGGCACGTGTCTTATTCCAAAACATCGATGTCTGCCTATGAGGATGACAGTGTTCCAAGTAAGTGAAATTTTACCTCTTTCCTGTGAATGATATCTGATTCAATTCCATGATGAAAGTTTGGGGTACAAACTGAATAGGAAAAAGTAGTTTTGTATATTTCGATGTTCATATGAGAGTGATTGTTTCGAGATTTTTTTTTGGTTTAATTCAATGTTCATATGAAAGTATTTGTTTCAAGGCAATTTTTACAGTTCTTGTCTGAAAGTTACTTCTTTCTATGAAAGTTTCACATATTAAAAAAAATAGAAAGTCAAAACCTCTATTTTCGAAAAAATGTATTTCAGCTACCTCCTGTCGAACTACTGAATGACGCATCAAACATAGACAGATAGGTTGTCCGGAAAAAACAGATGCATTTGAAAGTCAACACCTAATCATATAGTGAAAAATAGTTCAAGTCTAGGTCGTTTTATACCAATCGAAACTTCTGAATTGAAGGTACAAGGATTATAACTCAAAAAATTGTATAGACTTTTTTGAGTTTTTTCACATTCCGTAATCTGATATATAAAAGTGATCTAGATTTTCATTATTAATATTGTCTTTCTGAATCAAACTAAAAACTTCCAACAGTCAGAAGTTATTTCAATATTTTGACGTAACTTAAAAAAAATTCTGTTAAGTCAATCCCGTGCATGGTTACTATAATACCACCCAGACAGTATCAACTTTAATGAAAGCTACAATTTGATAATCATTCCTGGAACTATTTAAGAAACAATGCAGGATTTCTAATTGGAAAAACCGAAAACAAAATACCTCATATGTACTTAAGATACATATAGTGCCTTCACTCTTGGTTATAGGAACTTTCCACAAAATAATTTGTTTTTCTCAAAAATAGGTGGTTGGTTGTTGTTTTCACCCTTTCAGTGCTCATTATTAATTTCCTTCATTTGTTTGCATTCTTCATTTCCATGGTCATAGAGAGTACACAGAAGAGGAATTTTTATCTCAAGCAGTTTGATGATGCACCAGATAGACGACAGATAACTATTCCAAGAAAAAAGAATAGGTGCATTTCAGAGTCTTGAACACGTAATCATATTGGGAGAAATAGTTCAAGTCTAGGTCGTTTGATACCCATCGTAACTTCTAAATGAAAGGTACAAGGATTATAAATCAAAAAAAATTATCGACTTTTTTGGGTTTTTTCACCTTCCATAATCTGAAAAATGAATACACTGTTTATCCCGATAATCAACTGCGTGAATTCGAAGTTTCACAAAGAAAAATGTTATATAAAAAAATAAATTAATCTAAACTAATCCCAACGTTCCGGAAGCTAAAATCTACCCATGTCTTCAGAATTAGAGAAAAACTGATGAATCTCACGGTTTATCTTTGGTTCGTTTTATTTTAAAACATCATCGGAGTGATTGTAAAAGGGTTTTGAAGTGTTGCATATTGACTTCTGAAACATTCGATCTAGTTCAAAGTGTTTGTTCTTTGATATTTGTCTGTTGCAATCACGCCCCTATCAATATCTTTCAGTTAGATATCTCTAGTAATAACTTTCATAAATAAATGAACTGGAAAGTAGTTTACTCAAAAAAGTGTCTTTATTTCTATGTATATGTAAGAATAATAAATTTGTATACCATGAAAAAAAATAAAAGTCCTTCAAGATGATTATCCACTTCACACCTTTCTCATTCGAAATTCCGCATTCCACAGCAGGAAATTGATTCGCGAGAATAAATAATATTTCTAAAAATTCTCATTGATTCCAACTTAGTATATTATTTTCTGGATGGGTGATATTGAGGGTAGGAACTTTTCAAACTATCATTTCAACCCAACACTCGACTTCATTCAGTGAAAGAACAAACAACCGGATTTTTAAAAATGTGGTTAAATTCTTTTATTCATTCTGAACAACTTGAAATTACACAAAAGTGTAAAAACCTGCTAACTCGGAAACTGTATTTTCTAGGAGCATATCAAGAATGCAGACGCTGGAGATAGTCATTAAAAGATCACAATAGCTGTCTTTGTTGTCTCCACGTCTGACAATAACGATGTGGCGTTTTATTCAGTCCTCTCCATTGTGACTGCATTCTCCATGTTCTAGTCGTTTCTTTCATGCTCACATCCCGTAGGTATACTTGTTAAAATGTTTTGAATCTCTTGTTATGAAACAAAAACGCATAATTATCAAGTTGAAACGCAGCTTTTCTTATATCATTACCTCGATGCAATATATAATAGCAACCTGTCGTAAAGAGAGATTTCTTACCTTATTATTCCTGCATTATTTCTATCCAGTGAACAATTTGGGTCAGTAGCTGTTACAAATTGTTTCAGATACACATAAATTATCGATCGATTTTACTTTACAGACAGCGGAGTAACAGAAGTGTTCTCTTGAATTTTAAACGTCTATCAGCGGTGTTTGTAGGTAGTAATATGATGCAATCGAAATAAAAATGTAGGATTCAGTAACAGAGTTTGAAAAATAATTCTGAATATTCTGAATTTTCTTGAGAACTGAGAGAATTGAGAATTAAGAACAATTACTGTCAATACTAGTTATAAATATCAGTGTGGCAAAAATAATTTCCTGATGATGGCAAGAAACTCTGGTGTGTAGAAAAACTATTTTCTTCAGATAATTTAAATCTTCATACATCATCCAGTTTGTACACATTGTAGGTCAAATATTCAATCAACTACAAAAACAGATGAATTCTATATTTTACTAGAGAATTCAAATTATCCAGACATCAGTTCAGTACCAAAAATTGGCTCAGGTTTCAGACTGTACTCTATCGATTTATTGAAGTTCGCCTTCAATATATGGGAAACAGAATTATTAATTCACAATTCAATGAATGAAAATCTAGTCCTCAGATTATCAGAAAAACAATGAACTTATAGACAAAAAATAGTTTTGAGTTTGCAATGGTTTACTATTATTCCAAAAATTGCCATTTCCTAACCGCAACTAACCAGAATTTTTAACGGTTTTCATTTGAAATATTTCATTTGAAATATTTTCAAAGTTTCGTCCGTTTTTATAAGTCTATTTCAAACTATCATATCTTAGTTAATACTTATTCAATTCAATCAAAATAAGCATCAGTGCACTTTTGGCAACGTATCACAAGTCGATTATTTCCGTCAGCGTGAAAATTGTCTGTTCCTGATTGGCGCAGGTTCTACCGGTGAGAAAGCTATGAAGTGCTTGAAAAGATGATAGTCAGTTGGTGAGAGGTCTGGGTAGTATAGTGGATGAGACAGAACTTCGAGGCTCAATTCGTTTAATTTTCGAACGGTGAATTGGGAACGGGCGTTGTCGTGGAGCAGGAGACCTCTTCTGTTGATCAGTGTCGGCTGCTGCTGACGCGATTTTCGGTTCATGTCGTCGATTTCCTCACAATAGGACTCTGTCATGATGTTGTACTTTTCATTAGTATCTACCTCAAATATATGACATGTTCTGCAAAAATTTACTCACAGTTACTTTGTTTTCTGTACAAAGTTGTTATCAGAGTATTTATTTGGTCGGATGCGTATGCACCTAGAGCAAGATTGAAAAAATAATCTTTAATGCCTAGACATGCAAAATGTTACCTCTATGATAGATTCATGTTACCTGAATTGATGCAAATTTGGAATGAACCTCAAATGATTGTTATTTTTCCGACTCTTCATTTCTTCTGCATATAACATAACATATTATAACATAAAAAATTGGTGTCTCACTCGCTCATTTTTCTCGAAGATATGTCAAAATAGGTACCATAGACAACTTTTTCTTCAACGATGTGAATTAACTTGATGTGTTGTTTTTCAATTCTTGACATATTTCTGAAAATTAGTGCATAGATCAAGCAAATTATCTATCTGATATTCAGGTGGTTAATTTTCAAAAGTATCAAATATTATTGGAGTTGTATCTCAACACCAAGCCGTTATTTTTAACACTTTGGCACGTGTTTCAATCACCAAGTAATCATCTTCAAGAGAAATATTTTTTCGGTTTGATGTTGAGATAGAACTCGTAATATTTCTTACCAAAGATCTGAAACAGGGCAGGCACCACAAGTTCAACAGTATAATTTTGTAGAATCGGTTTTTATGCAGTCATGTTCTACATTACATTTTTCGATTAACTTGAAGATAAATAATTTTTCAACCTTAAAATAATTTTCCAGGTTTGTTGAAAATAGCTGTCAGGGTGTTAACCATCACTTCAAAATCATTTAAATGGGCGAAACAAATTTTCAACGTCAATCTATTAACGTAAGTTCCAGTATCATTTCGAAAGTGGTGGGAGAATTGAGCAAAATTTCATTGTTCAAAATAGAAAACTTCATCGACTGTTGGAAATTTTCACCATCTCTAATCTGAAAAACATTAAAATTGTTTTAACGTTTCGAAAGAATAAACTTCTAGCCACCCTCCGAAAATAGGTTACTATTTATTCGTAACTCATCGTGACTTGATAGTTCATGTTCAATAAATTTGTCTATAGAAGAATACATGTGTAAATACTCATATCAACGTTCCAAAGACCAAAAATTGCTCCGGTTTCAGATTTATAAAATAACTATCTCTATTGATTTTTTTCGAATTCGTTTCATTTTCAGCAGTCTTCGCCAAAAACAAGTAGAACTTTGAATCGATTATAATTTTTTTTTCAAAACGATAACATGATGGGAAAATTGAAGGCTAGACGCTAAACTATCTAAACAGAGTTTAACAGAGTTGAAATTCTTTTCTTAGCAGTGATAAAACTGACAACGATAAAATAGATAGCTATGAAATGAATATCTCGGTGTCATTATTCTTGAATCATACGTAACTTTTAGGGCCTAGTTATGCATCATTCTCATAATTTCAGTCACTGTCACTGTTCGAATCAAATTGAAACATGAGAATCAAATATTAAAATAATATCGTATTGGCCAGAATGCTTCTACAGAAATTCACAGGTTGTATATGATTTAATGATCACGGTAGTGACTAGACCTTAACTCAACTGGGAAAAATCAGAGTCAATCAAATAAAATTTCTCAATACAATGAACAAATACAAGAGACCGAAATGAAATAATGCCACTTTTTACTGAATCACCTAACCTCGCGGAACTAAAAGAACAATCCTTCAATTCAATCTCTGCCTTGAATACCAACATTGGAATCAAAAGAATACGCGTCGTGAATGCATATAGCCCTGTCAAGTAAGTCGGGTGACTCGGGTGCCGGATTTGCTATAGAAAGTTAGATTTATTTCAAAATGAAAACCTATTGATGAAAAATACGGGTTTAGAGATTTGAGGAAATAAAATTGACAGACGGACATGACTTCAACTATGACATAAAGTTTTACATTTGAAAGAGGAAACTTTGGAACTTAATCTTTTGAAATGTTTACACATTATTAGATTCGAAAATTGTCATAACTTTCTGAATGACCAATTGAATTTTTCTCTCATATGAATCTGTTTTCTAATGTGAAAGTTGGTTCACTACATTTTCATTTGAAAAGATGGTAAAATTTATTTTCATGATTTTCAAAAGTTCAATTATTTTTTACCTGAAATCAGGTAAAATCATTAGTTATTAAGTAGTCATGTGAAAATTTCAATTATTAGTCTTTACCTCAACCCAAGTAAAGTTATCAGTTATTACCTATGTGAAAGGTCATATGATTCAAACTGTTATTATATACAGCACAAATTTGGCCGGCATGAAAATTTTGGACAAAGCTATTGTATAGCGAAACACGTGAACTGTCCAGGAAAAATTTCAAATCGATTTTCATCAAGTATCTTAGAATTTAATTGTTTGAAGGAGATTAACAATGTTTTATGGTGCATTTCATTAGTAAAGACTTCCATTGTCTAATATGATATAAAATGATTTAAAATCCTTGAAAGAATTAATAAAAATAAAATAATTACATGAGAAAAGAAAGAAATATCTACATAAAGCAAAAAACTGAAATTACAATGAAATAAAATGCAGGCAACAATTGAAAATTAAACAATCAACAAGAATTGAAAATTAAAATTAGAAGATTGTTAATATCCACAATCGTCTTTCGTGTGTTAATTTTTTTATGTGATCTTTTTATTTTTATTGATTCTTTCAGGGATCTTTTCATGTAATAGTAGACAATGGCAGTCCGAACTAATGAAATATCTTAGAATTCATTCACATACCTACTATACAGTAATTTCTTCAGTCGTGTTTAGTACATGTCAATAACTCTGCCGTTCTGAACCTTTATGGAATTTGATTTACCCATTTACAAATTAATTTCAAATGGTTGAAATTATGAAGGAAATGTATGAAAATTCTCCAGAAAATATGATCGTGATATCCAAATCCGCTTCTGACGCGCAGATTTATATCATATCTTTACAGCCTTTTGACCTCGCATAGAAATTCATTCCTGTCTCAACTACAGATCCAATACAAATACAAAATAATAATTATAACCCATTCAGAGCCGTGAATCAGGAGTGTCTACAAAGCAATATCACTCACATATAATAATCGGTAATTGATGCTCGCGGGATATAAGGACGTCATATGCAATATCACAACTTCCTATAATTACAGTCGACTTGAATCCAATTTCTCTTTCGATGGCACGCCGACGGAAAGTAGAAAATTCAAATCACAAAAATGATTCTGAAGAGCGAGGCTATGCGGTGTTCCTTGCGATCTTATATCAGGACCGTCTTGAGCAGAGTTTGTTGAAATTGGGAATTGCTATTCATTAGATTTTATATAGGATTTTCCTTCAGAAACACCCTTGGTACATTTTATCATTCCCAAATGATCTGAAAATTAAAGTGGCTGAATTGAAATGAGTTATTTGGACTATCTACTATTCTCGATTCTGGAATCATTATTTGACGTTATAGTTTGAGATACCTACGAATTGAAGCAGAAAAACTTTTAAATTCCTCTTGGTTATCGAAAATTCATCTCAATTTTTTTCTGTGACTTCAAATTCCACACTGTTTCCATTAGATCACTATGAAGTTCAATAAAACTTGATATTGCGTGAAAAAGACATTAAAAAAAGGAATTGTTTTTTTGAAATGTCAGTAAAAATACAATACTCAGTAGATTGTGTAACTTTTCATTCATTTATCGTATTATTACCTCTAGAGTGACCGGATTCGCACATTCTCAGATTATTTTTAACATTGTACACAGAACTAGTTTCGACTTATTGAAACGAACCTTTCAATATAAGAGTAACCAGGACTAAGGCTTCAGTCAAACCAAGTTATATTCGGTTAATGACAATATATTTGTGGAAAATATGAAAACAAAAATGTGACAAAAAGATAAAATAATAAAGGTACTTAGTTATTGTACTTACTCGTGTTCAGTTGAAAACTTTCCATACAAATGATATTCGGTTAAATAAATCTCGGTGCAGTGATGAGTTACAAATGGAAACTTATGATGATTTTGTTATTCCTCCTGTTAGTACTACTCAAGAAAATCTTAATACTGAACAACCACTTGATATATCAACTAGGTCCGCTGTGCCTTCTAGTTATGATATATCATGCAGCAGCAGTACTAGTTCGACACAAAAATCTTCTATACAGCCAGAAGATGGTATATAACCGAATAGTTTGAATCCTAGCATTACACCTAACAAATTTTGTTAAAGATTCTTATTATCCCTAAGAATGTTCCAGTTATTAGTTCACCAAAAATTGTAACGAGGTTATGTTCAATTATAAAAGTTCTTGTTCTATGAGTTGTTTGATTAATGGATCACTGGCAACGTTGTTCAAGTGGTCGTTTGTCAAATGATATATGTAAAAATATAAAGACTGGGTTTTGCATTACTAAAAGTAAAGTTAGAAAGTGTCTGAAATCTCGTCTGCCCATGTGTCGGACATAACAAGAATGAACGGATTTTTCAAAAGCTTTCGATTGAATAAATCATTCTTGCTCCTACAAAAACACTCCTGCTCAGATATCAACTGAAAATATAAACATCTGATATTCTTTTCAACATTTCAATATATTTCATACTACTACTTTTAAGAGTACTATGCTATGGATCTCGCAGTGAATCCTGATTTTTTTTATTTGACGAGATAGACCCCTGATTGCTCAGAAGAAAGAGTTCAGAAAGAGTTACTTTCGGAAAATTATGTTGTCTGTCTGTGGTTGCCGAAGTCAGCGACTTGAAATTTTCACCATTGATCAAGAATATAAAAAATTCAAGCCGAACAAGTGCAGAAGGCTCTTTGCATCTCCTTGAGTAACAATGATTCTCGGACCCAATAATCATCTGCCTCACGGTGTATGAAGTGGTCTCTGGTTGATAATGCTCTCCCCTATACATTCGTTCTTCCGAATGTATGGGGGACAGGATCACATACAGTACAACATTATATCAAAAGTTGAACCTTAAGACTACTCTACTTGAGTTGATGGTGAATTGAAGAAGTATAACATTGACACGAATTTATGAATGAATAAAAGCTAGTTACCGGCGATGCAGCTATGAAAATATTAAGTACACCATTGAAGACGATGTAACTGAAAGTTTATGATATCAATACTCTTCCATATAACATGCTGTTTCAAATCCATTAAACATGTTAGGAGTACATACTGAATGGGAAAAAGTGATTTTAGTGTAATTCAATGTTCATATAAAAATAGTTGTGTCGAAAGAATTTTCTCCTCTTCCATAATCGAAGGAACAAACATTTTTATGCCACTGAAAACTCTCACTTAATATCGTTTTTCTTTGAACACATGGTGCGGTTTGCTAAATAAACTACAGAAAGCTATTTTATTGACGCCCTCTTAATCGGAGCAAAATTTACAAAAATTATAAAAGAAATGTTGAATGATATTCCTATAGGGTATCGGCGTAAGAGCCCCTGGTTCCAACAAGCCTTGTAAGAGCTGTATCGTAATAATCTTGAAAAAGAGTCGATTCTGTGATTTGTTTCAACGGAGAAAATGATTAATCCGACAATACTGATTCGTTTGAAAATATTAACAATGCATTGGAAGGTATTCAAGGAGACGAAATAAGCAAATATATAAGAAGTTTGAGTTCGTGAACCACAAAATGGTGAACATTTCCAACACTAACTTCAATAATTTTCATTTATTTTCGAATAATCATTTATTACTTTTCCAAATAAATGATAATTTCGTTTAATTATTATGAATTGAGTTTTTCTCCTCTTTTGAAATATGTGAATGATTATTACTTGTTTCTTCTTTTAATTCTAATGAAGTCAATTCAGTTTGAGATGAGTGAGTTGATTTTTTTATCGAAATGTTTTGCATGTTGAACTAAAGGTGAATGTAATACAGATCTGAATCAAAAAATTTAGATAAAGGTCAAAATCACCTGAACATCAACTTTTAATGGCGTTGTATGATGATATAACGTTGTAATCAGCATGGAAAGTTATTTCGAAATGTGTCATGGAATATACAGGTTCGTATTGACAAAAATGTCGTTGAATGTGGCCCCGAGAGTACGAAACATTGGATTCTAAATCTGATTACGTCAAATTGAGGTGAATTTACTATCAAATAGAAATGCCAGTAACATTTTTTGATTATTTTTCAATTAACTTGGGAAAAAAAATCAAAATGACAGTTTTCTGATGATTACTCAATAACCGGGCCTGATATTCTTGATTCATTTGAGCTACTATTCTTATCGTTTAAAAGATACCAATATAATCCTATTGAAAAATGACCAATCTGTATAGAAAGTTAAGATATTGCAAACACAGAAAAATTAACACTTAATACATCAATAAAATGTGTGGATCGTGCATATGTTTTTTTCAGTTTTTTTTCAGAAACAATCGATGGGAAACAACTGTGTTCGATTATGAACACTGAAGTATACGAAAATATATTTTTCATATCTAGTTATATTGAACACTCGTTATGTAATTGAAATAGATATCATATATATATAGGAAGGAACGCTGCTCAACATAATGCAGGAAAATGTACGTATCTATATAAATTTTCAGTAACAAGCTGAGTTTTCAATATATATCATATATGTATAGGAAGGAACGCTGCTCAACATAATGCAGGAAAATGTACGTATCGATATAAATTTTCAGTAACAAGCTGAGTTTTCAATCTCCAAGTGGACCTCTCTGGAAGTTTCGGACGAATGCACTATTATTCAACTTCTCATTAGCACCGTTTTGGATATAACTTCAATATAATTCACATTCACTCAATGCTTTTGATAACTTCACTACTTCATGTCACTGGTAAAAACAATAATGATATATCATGAAAATATTTTGAATGCAAGTAGTTATTCAGGGGTTTTCTTCAAGAAGAGTTGCGTTCAACAATGTAATCGTGATTAGGCCGAACACCACGGGTGACACTTATAGCAGATCGAAACACTACTGTCTATTGTTGGATTACGAATACTTTGTTCTTGGTTTCTGGTTTAAACAACTGGTTAATGTAATCTCCGTAATAGGAAGTTCGTTTTTTCGTTTTTCAGGAGATATTAGTCACTTCTTTTGACTTTCTACATCTTCATCAATACATAGAAATTGGGGATCTCCCAAAGAAGAGAAAAAATGTAAAAATTATTTTATAAGATGTGCAAAAGTTCCAAAAGTTCCTTTTTAGTTAGATTCTGAATAATCGTAATGGAATTGAAAAGGATACTTTTCCCTTTCTAGAAATAATATCAACTTTCATTATTATTCTATCAAATAGACATTCCAGAATGTCATCATCAGATGAGAATACCTTATTTTCAGTTTGTACATTAAAACCTGAAGTGAATATTTTTGTGTTCTTTTAATTTCTGGAAAGTTTCATTTGAACATTTCTAGAAATGAAATTGCGAAATATCCAGAATGGGTAAGAGCAACCGAATGAAAATTGAATACAGTATTGAGGACGATTCAAGAAGGTCAAGGAAAATACTGCGGCGATGCTCTCAAGAATCATTAGGAATCACACGTTAAAAGGTAAGACCTCGTTAATGCTTAGCTCGCACAAGTTTCGATTTCTGTTTCTGTCGTTTCTAGGGGTGCAACAACTAGTTAACGGAAAAACAGATTTTGAACAGATTTTTTTATGTTAAAAACAGTTGTGCCGATCCCGCATCATCCTCAGTAATGTGAGAAATTCTTGGAGGCTTGAATCATATTTTACAAACATAGCACTCCTCCGTGAAAGTATCAAATCAGCTCTTTCGGAATAATCCCAAGATAAATTACTAGATTATTGGCCGACACTTGTAGATATTCAATAGGCATAATATCATTACTGGGAAATGAAGATTCTGCGCTTGTGAATAGATAAGTAGATTCAATTTGAATTCGAACGATGTAACAAATTCTAAACATATCACGACACATGATTACATCTTGAATCATTTGACTAAAATTTCAGGTATTATAAGCTATAAAGTTTTATGATTAGTAGTTATGCCGATTCCTAAATATAGTTTTTTTATGGGATTCATAAAATCGATTCTTTTATTTTATTAACGTAATTACCGACTTTTTTGAGTTTGGGAAGAAGATACACGAGTGAATAAAACAGACAAGAAAAATTACCAAGAGGATATGTGACCAGTTCAACAACTAAACACTTCCATTTGGTAGGATTTAAATGAGAAATAACTGAAAGATGGAAATGTATGAAATGTTTATTAATTGGTTTCGAATTACTGAATGAGCTTGGTAATTTGTTAATGGTACTTTCTGAACTTTTGCTTGCCTAATTGACACGAAAAATTATGAATTTGTGGAGGACGGTCATTGCTCAGTTTCA